AGGTGGAGAACCTATTCAGTTTTAGGATTACAAATGCAATACGGTCTTTCTCTAATACAATACTCTTGACCACATTGTTTGGTTTGATAGTTTATTCATGTCTACTATCCAATGTGAGTCTTGTGCTTATATGATTACCTTGAATGTGATTTGGAACACATTCCTAAATCTCATTCATACTTTGGCCAAAGATTCTTAATCATATCATAGAGTATTCTCCCTCAAACAGTTTGAAGGTTAGAGATCCCTTGTTGCGCATTCACTTGCCTCCATGGCTAAGTGGCTTAACCCCAACGATGCCATGGACACCCTCCTGATGGAGTGACTTTGACATAATCAAAGATTAAGGACCTAACCACAAGACAACTGTGATGCCTCAGGTCAAAAGACTAATTTGCATTATCCCAACCATGAGTTCTCATGTGACATGAATATGAGAACTCTTCGTTGATCGTGTTCAGTGAACTCATTCTCTATTGAGCACCTACGTACTTGTCTTGATGTCACACACACCAATGACTCGAGACTAGTCACTCTCCCTCAGAGAAGACATAGCACGTACTGATCTTAACGGACTGTCAATGCCTGCCTTTCAGGGGCTTTACATTGTCTCTTCTAGGACAGTCATCTCTTATTAGATGAATTGTTTGAGAATTTGGGTCATAACCTCCTCTAGAGTGTTATAGAGCTTGGATTTTTAATCTCCACTTCTACGGAGTTGAATCATTGGAACATACACATCAATTATGCTTCAGGCATGAGATATATTAAAATTGCCGTGTCCATGGATTATCCTTTTGGAACTTAAATCCATGCGGCGACTGTCATGCTTTGGGCATGCAATAGTTTAGTAGTGCCAAGTCTATGGATAATCTGACTGAGACTTCAATCCGTGCAGCAACTCTGTAACTTGTAATCAATTAGTAATTTTCATTACCTTTTTGTACATCATGTGAATTATATAAACTGATAATGTTTGTTGGGGCTATGAGTAGGATTCTCATCATTGAACTTTAGTCTTCCATTCACTCAGTTAGCCACCAATTTTCTCGCTTTGGACTTCTATGGGCTCATTGTTGATCTTTCTGCTTCAGTCTCTTGCACAGTAGAAGTGGTGCGCAACCTTTGCCCTTGGATGGTCCATCACTTCTTGGTGACTCATCCATGTTTGGCAGCTTTAGTGTAAAGAGCCAACAACGTACCAATTATTCTGCGATGTTGATGACTTGAGACCCAGCTTCAATAATAGTTGAAGATGACTATTCGAGAGCAATGCAAGGTAAGCAATCAGGCAATCAGTCCTAGACGGGAAGTTTGATTTCAGGTTTCGACTGATTGCTTTCTTTCTCCTTGTCTTGCAAGTAAGAGCAAGGGCAAAGGAAAAGATGAGGAAAGAGCATGATATGAGGTACTCTTACCCTCAACCCTGATAATACGGGATACTTTTGCTCTTAAAGGAAAAAGTATAAGATTTTGATGCTTGTGTAAACCTTTTTGATTGAAAGGGGTTTCTTGCTGAGAAAATAAGTTTGGCATTTTGAGGGACTTGGTTGAAGAGGTATTTGAGAGAAAGAATAATGAATATGTTGAAAGGTTTTGTTGCAAATGCATTCTCGGCAAGGAAGATAAGTTAGGCGTTTTGGAGGTGTGCTTTGCCATGGAGGACGAAAGTCGACATATATAAGGATTTCCCAGTAGTAGGTAGTGGTGCCGTTGTGAACTTGTCACCCATGCTTGTCGTCAACAGTGGTGTAGTTGGAATAGTGAACTTTAAGCATTTTAACTTTGCCAAAAATATTTTGACAGAGTTGTCCTTGATATCTAGAAAGTTGAGATTGCGTCTGAGAAATGTTGACAAACTTTATTTAGAAAAATCCGGCTTTTAAAATTCGAAGAGCGGTGTCTCTTCAAGTTTTGAACAAGTGGTTGTGTTGTCTCTCCTTTTGTAGAGGTATCAATTGTATTCAAAATGCATGCTTTAAAGGTTGCCCGCCTGTGAAAATTGTCTCTGTTGTATTTTTGAGATTTCATTCTATCAACCCTTTTTCTTTCGTTATTTCTGAAAATGGCTTGCTCATCTAACCTTTATTTAGATTTGAGTCTCGGAAGAGATACACACAAGTCGCGTCAGGATAATATATGGCGCTTGTCCTTTTTATCTTCTAATGGCCCTCTTATGGTTGGAGACTCTGTGATGAGGGATGATATAACGGCTACAGTAGTAGCTAGGAACCTTCTCACTCCCAAAGATAAAATAATACTGGTTGTTCAAGACTCTTTGACTTTTAGTGTTCAGTGTGCGGGTTCTGTATCCAACATAGGCCAACGCCTACTTGCTTGAATTCGCTAATTCAAAACATTAATGGTTGACGTGGCAAGTCTTAGACAAAAAATTAGAGAGCTTAAGCACGAGAATAAAGAGTTGCACAAGCTTGCAAATATTTACTCGACAAGCATGAAAAGAAAGCTCGACCAGCTGTAGGAATCCAAAAATCGGATTCAAAGTGATCACCAGAGATTCGTGGCTAGATTCCGAAGACAACTGGTGTCTTCCCCTTTTAGTGTTTTGCCAAGTACTGGGGTGTCACATGAGCAACCTTTGTGAAGGCCCCCCCATTTGTTTGTTTTTGTAGTTGTAACTCATGTGTATGTATAAATTTTTTTTTTTCCCATTTGATTTTATACATGTCAGAAAGCTTCTACTTTAGCTTGTATATATGGGAACCCATGGAAACTTCTAGTTCCATAATTAATGAATTAATGGGGAAACGATGGAAACACCTAATTCCATGAATATAATTCAATGAGCCTTTAAGTATAAATGTTTCTAATATCATATGCTTCCACATGAATTCTCGAACATTATGAATTCATGAAAGTATCTCTTGTGTAAGATGTCAATGGTCACAAAATCAGATTTTGCTAAGTTTACCATTTTCTTATTCCCCAAAGGAAGAAATTCAGGTATGATGGAAATTGCGATAATTAACCCATACCACATATATCATATGTCTACACAAAATGTTAGAACTTCAACTTCTTAACATTATTCATATTTTGAACTTCAGATCAAAACATTATTCATATGTACTCAAAATTTGTTCTCAAATTTGACATTATTAGGTTCATATTTTTAGAATTCATATCCATATTTAATATGTTCATGGATTAAAAAAAAAACTTATAATCCTCATTTACATTAATCAATGAACTTCTGGCCCTCATTTAATAGTTTATAGACTGAGGCACTTATGGCCGTCATTTTGATTTAATTGAGGAACTGCTACGCTCTCAGTTGATTCAAAAACTTCAGGTTTTGATTTGATCGAGGCACTTTGGATCTGATTTTTTTATATATAATGATGATCAAGGAACTTCAGGTCTAATCATTTTTTATGGTGGAACTTCAGGTCAAATCATTTTATATGATAAGGATCAAGAAATTTTAGGTTCTAATATGATCAAGGAACTTCGGGTCCTTTTATATACGCATCATAAAATGTAGTATACTAAATAAATTAAAGCAATAGACGGTAATTCCAACCATGGTAAATAAATTGCTTTTAAGTAAATAAAGTTTGTGGCAAGGGCTTTGATTCAGCACCATTCACATAAATATCAAAGTTTTAAAGCAAAGGGTAATCATTTCACACACTATAAATAATACAACTTGTGATAGGGCTTTAAACCAGTACCATTCACATAAATATGCCAAAACAGAAAAGGCAATGATTTAAGTCTATTTTTTTTTTCTTTTTCTTTGTCTGCCACTTTCTATTGTTTGATCATTTTTATTTTATTTTCATTTCATAGTTCTAAGTTCTTTTAGTTACCTAGGTAGTAATAGTAACAATAAGTCCCAATTGGTGTTCCTCCTTCGGTGAATTTCAAAAAAGTCGAAACGGTTTCCATAAGTTTTGGAGTCAAGAGTAGTGTCTGCAACTTATGAGAAGATCAAGCCGTTATTTAGCTCAAATTTTAGTATGATATGGATAGGAGGATACCGATCAACTTTCGTGAAGAAACAATTTCGATTTGAGCTACTGAAAAAGGAGGTACTCATAAGATGGTTGTCCAATTTTCCGCAGAATTGGAAACTAGGTTAGTGTTTCAGACATTTGCGATGATCGCACCAATAGAGTTTTCTAAAAATTTGATATGTTATAGGTACTGGGTGGATGAACAACTTTCAAGAAAGAAGTATCTCAATCCAAGGTCAGCAAGTTGGAGTTCATAGACTATTTACATGGCTGTCAGATTTTTTGCCAATAATAATGATAATAGTTATATAACCAAATATATATTTACATTAAGAAAATTAGTCATACAGAGATATGAAGATGAAATGAAAAGATTTTCTTATTTGTGAGATTCCAACTGACTGAGGTGAGAGCTAGGTAGTACTTCATCAGATTTATGGCGTGTGCTTTCCATTGACACGAGAGCTTCTCGTGCTGATAATGTATTGTAAAGTCGACGATATGGGTGCAGTTGAATAAAGTAAATAAGACACAATATTAACGAGGTTCAACAAGTGTGCCTACGTCCTCAGGACAACAGTAGTATTTTCTTTCATTATCCGAAATAATAAATGTACAAAATAACTCTTAATATTTTCTCTCTTCTCTCTAGCTGGGCTATTGGTGATTTCTTCCGCATCTCTCCTCTTTCCTCTTCTCTTCCCTTCCTCTCTTCCCTTCCTCCATAACTTCTCTTTCTTTCTTCTGTATGTTATTCTCTCATCTTTCTTCGTCTTCTCTCCTCTTCCTTCCTTTGTATGTTCTCATCTTATAAGCAAAAGATTACCATAGCAACACTATTTACTTCACAAACTTTCCTCAAATAAATAGTGAAATACTGTGCACGAATAGTAATCCATCCGTTTTTCTTCATATGAATAATAATTCATCTAATTTTTCTTTGGATGAATAGTAATGAACCATTCATATGGACCATCCACATATTATATTATAACATATGAAACTAAATTATCTCTAGGGTACTGAAACAGGAACCATATATACATATTCGGTTTCAGACATAATACCGCCACTTCTTTACCAGCACGTTACATAAAGGCGCTGCTGTTCATGACTGACAAGGTGGTGCGAAGTACACAAGTGCTTGTCCCTTCCCTGCTCACAATGCTGAGATAAAAATGAAAACGAAAAACTAATTCAAGCTCCATCCCAAGCACGGAACTAGAAAAACAGAAGGGTTCTCGAACATCTGCTATATTTTTGGGTTCACATTGAATCAGAACCCCTAAACGTATTCATTATCGGTCTCGAAACCATTTACATGCTAGAAGTGGGGACAGAGAAACAAGAATGGGCGTATCATACATCCAGATAAACCGCAAATTGCTTTAGACCTTCGGTCGCGTCTTGAACCAACGTCACTCATCAATAAGATCTTTCACTGCCTCTTTGCTAATGTCTTCTTCAACCCCTTCAAAATCTTCCAAAACCACATCACATTCATGACCGCTAGCATTGGTGGCACTGCGAAAGCTAAGAGTCTCCCAATTATGTGCATTTGTTTAACCTGTGAAACAAGCTCATGCAGGTTCAATATATTTCTAGTTGCGTATCGCATGTTAATTAAATAATCAATTTGAAACTTAAACTTCTAAGATGTAGTCATTGTAGGTCAGCAGACCAGCTGCTCCGCACCTGTTCATAGTGCAAGTAGAGATGGTAGAACAGATACATGAATAAGACTATTCTCGCTACCTGCACAGAGTAATGCGTAAGCATGTCTAAGATCAAAGGCACGAGGAAAGTCGAATCCGGAAAGATTTGTCAAAAAGTCTTCCCTTCGTAAACGCAATGCAGAAGATTTAATTAAAGAAACAGAACACGATGGAAGTCGTAGAAACATTACAGATAGATCTAACTCACCAACCAAGCAATGAATATTACAACCCCATTAATCAAATATGTTCTGGACCTCTTCATTCCAGTCGTGTCAAGATACCTTCACAATCAAAACAATACTAAGCATCAACAGTAAGGAACAAAATCATAGCTTTTGAAAATGGATTTCCAGTAAGAAATGCATACCATCTCAAGTTGATACCGGGGGTAGTTGTCTCAGAGATAAGAACCATGTAGATATAAAGCTGTCCCTCGCCAGTCAACATAGCATATGCTACCGATGTTAAAGAAAGAAGATGATGAACCACCTGAAAGATTAATATGATCACCATAAAATTGACAAGGTCATTCACTTCATAAAATTGGGTTCTGCTTGTCCAACACCGGTAATGGAATTCATCCCGATGACAAACAATTCAAACCAGAATGCACTTACATATTCCATTCCACCTAGAGCAGGGTAAAACCAAAAGATCATCGCAAGGTCAGTGAGAAAGTACCCAACTGAAACCTGCCACAATGACACCAACAAAAGGCAGCATAGTGTCTGTTAGAATTACGTACTATTCGCATGACTGGCTTCTCTAATGCCTAAATTTCTAATCATACGATTGAGGTTCAACTTATTGGTATGACTTCAAAATTAGAATGCACTTACACATCAATTTGCCAGTGATATCCATTTAGTTGATTATTAATTGAAATTTCAAACATGCAAGAAAACCCCAAATCGAAACTAAAAGCAAATCCAAGTCTGAAAATGAAATATCGAAAACCAGTAGCATATTCAAAGCTTAAGCATGCAAATGTCCAAAACTTACCCCCAATGCAAATGTAGACAGTGGGGAACTCTGCAGCGTAACGAAAGCTTTAAGCTCCTGATCAGAATAAAGATCTGACCAAAATACCAAGTACAATGACATAGCAGTGATAAAAAGGGCATGAATAGTTGATATAGCCCTGCAGAATCAGCACAACAAAACACAACACACATGGGTTATGAGTGAATGAACAAAAACCGAAAAATAATCAGCAAGTAATTTAGATTAGGCTGAAAAAAAAAATCACCGATTATTCCACTCAATACGTTGCATCTTTGAAAGGTTGGAATAGCTCTTAAAGTAAGCAGCACTAAGCAAGTGGTTAAGATCATAAACCTGACAAATAACAACAAAAATTACCAAAAATTGAAGAAAAAGAGACTAAATTTACACATTAAATGCTTCCATCGAAACAATTAGCAAAAGAGTTTAGCGAGAGAAGCAGGGCGTACCAATTTGCAAGCGAAGATACCCACAATCATCGACGTGTAGGGAACATAAGGGCTGGAGAGTGTGAAATTCTTCAGCAACATGTCGTACGATTGGATTGCCATTCAGAAGCCCCAAAATCCCAGCAACCCAATTGCTCTAACGTTCCGAAAATCGACACCAAGGTCGAATTTCGAGCAGCAATCAGCAAAAGACGCCTCCTTTGGTGGAAAAAGTTGATGAAAAATTGGTGAATTCGGAGGGAGAATTGAAAAGGGTAGGCAGAGGGGGTTGAGCAGAGAAGGAAAGAAGGACGACAGAAACGCGAGAAAGCAGTGGCGAGTTAAAAGAGACGATGAGGAGCGGACGAGAGACCCAATCAGGCTTCGGCCCCAAGCAAGCTGATGAATCGCTGCGCAAGGCAACGCAACTTATCATGTGAAACTTCCAGAACCAAAGAAACGAACAAATTTAAGTTTTTTAATGGAAGTTTTTTTTTTTTTTTATATTAAAATTGAAGTATTGGAAAATTGATGGGCCCCTCATAACAATTGGACTCTCGTGATCTGAGACAGAGAAATTTAGATAGAGTTGTCTTATTATAGCAGTTTTCGATTCTAATAATTGAGACAATCCACTGTCTCAAGATTAAAGCATATTTTAAAAGAGAAATACTGAGAGAACTCTCTCAAAAGTAAGACTATTCATAGGACTCTCTGTCACCTCAATGACGTTAAAGAGTAATGATAGGAGACTAAATTTGCAAACTAAATTATGTGTCACCAATAGGAAATTAGCACGTTATCAATGTTTAAGTAATAAGTCAATCATTAACTTCATGTCATTTAGTTTACAAAATTTAGTCTCTCTAGCATTACTTGACGTTAAATTATAAGGTGGTCATAAAGTTCGTGGAGAGTTCCACTTTTAAGAAAGTTTCACTTTTAAAAGTGTCCCACGTTTGAGAGTGTCCCCATTTTTAAGACTCTCTCATCCCTTTAGCATTTCTCATTCTAAAATGATCTATCACGCTTTCATCACCTGGTTCCATACTAATGTTTGTGCACCTAGAGAGGATAAGGCTCAAGTTTGCTTCCATAATTGGTTTACATGAGTAATTATTAGCTTCTTATTGATCTATGATCTAGGATGGGGTTACTTAACACTTGTCCATAATATATAAACTGTCATTTCCCGTGTAGCGGTAAATCGCTCACACGCTCATTAGCAGTATTGTAATGATACTCCACTTAAACCTTTTATTGGAATATTGCATATACGCCCGTGAGTATTCCTAGGTCTAACAAACGAGTCGTGTTTTGTTGTATTTGTGTTGTTTTTGTATTATATTCATTATCTTAATAGGTCATGTCAAACCTTTTATCTTAACATATTTATATTAGAATGATCCCATAACAACCCGATTTGTTAACAGGTCATGTCTTTTCGTGTCGAGTTAATAAGTCATGCAAGAAATGTCATACCTAATGTCTAAATCTAATGAACGATTTCTTGTCATGTTCAATAACGATCCAACTAGTTAACGAGTTCTTAACAAGTGATCCGAAAAATATTCGAAACGTTAACGGATTAACCCAAAACCTATTATTTTTGTGTCGCATTAATGGGTCGTAAAAAGAATCGACAGGCCTAAGCATTCCTTGTAAAGAAAATTTGGAGTTACAATGTTATTTCGTGGAAAGGTTAACACTGAATTTCTTATAACCAATATACAAGCCAAATACCTTAAGCTATGAATTACAGATTCATATCTGTTTGATAAAGAGAGCCAGAAAAATAGTCTCCTAAAATATATGCGGAAGGAAAGATACAACTTACAGTTTATGAAAATCTAACAGCTTACTACAAAAATATAATCAACACCTTCTCCTTACCTTGTGATTTACCCTGTCCTTCGGAGAAGACGACGACGACGAAGATGCTGATAAAACTGACCGGTTATTTTCAGCCATGTCCTTGCAAAATGCCTTCTGTACATCGTCCTTAAGTTCCAAGAACCGCATCCTCTTGATTCTCTGCTCTTCCGGAGTTCCCTTGTCAAGGATGAAATCAGCCATGTCCATCTCATCATCCAAAAACTTATCAAGGACTTCCGAGCAGTTGGGGAAGAAACGCCGCCCCATTTTCACTGCCATCACCATTTGATGTAACATTGTAACTATTAATTGGCCCGAGATCATCACGAAACAAAAGTTATGCTCTTTGCTAAACTAGCTTTCGACTTAATACAGTTTTCCAAAGACTCTTGATCCTTTTAGGAGTAACTTCAGCATAGTAGTAGGGAAGTTAGATGACAAACCATATCGAAAGCATTTTGTAATTTTCAAAGAGATTAGACACGTAATAATGCTTGAGGTTTGAAACGCATTATAACACTCGTCTAGGAAACATGTAATCACAGAGGGATTGGGATATATGTCGCGGAGGTAAAATGGTCATACCAGTTTTAATAAGGGCTTGCATTCTTATTTGTAGTCTTTTGGTTCGTCCAGAGGGTGTTTCATTCAAATCAACCTCTCGTAAGTTCCCACTTGATCCTCTTGATGCCGCAAGGCCAGTGTACACTGATGTTGAATGAGCATCAGCCATTTCCATAGCAAGCTTGGCCTCAGCAGGAAACAACAACCGCGCAAATGCCACTGTAAATTTATGAAAGCTCAAAGCTGTTAGTCATTTTTTTCGACGACAAGAGTCAAAAACTCACTGAGCGTAAATGTCTTTATGGCATTAAAAATTAGGCAGCTTAATGTGCCGGTAATTTTCACCTTTTTACTTAATAAAACTTTCTGGTCTGAACTCAATAATGTAATCCAAGGGAGTGATTTAATCTAAAAATTAAGAATGGTCACCTCTATTTTCTAGATAGTCCAGCCTCACGTGCAAATCATCAGGTATCACCTCTGATATGATCAACATGTTCCCAGAGGCTGAGTTTCTCTGCATCTCTCTCTGTAGAAGTTCGATGCATAATCGGTCTTTGTTAGATTCCTGTCCCTGCTTTGTGTTCTCCAAAAAATCCTTTGGTCTGGTCAATCTCCGGCAAATTGCAACAGGAGTTTGACCATCTGAAGTAGTTTCCAAGGCAGAGGCTCCCCTGTCCAGAAGAGGAACTAGCACTGCTGGCAGCTTACGTCTGGCTGCCACATGAAGTACAGTATGCCCTCGGGAATTGCGAAGATTGAGGTTAGCCTCGCCTAGACCGAGAACCTCCTTAACAACCTTAGGATCACAGTATGCAGCAGCATAGTGGAGAGCATAAGCATCATCTAACGTAATATCAGATTCCTTGAGAAGAAGTCCAACCAGTTCAACGTCATCAGAATCTAATGCCTTGTGGATTCTCCTGATTCTCTTATCCTCTATCGACTCAATTTCCATCATACTTGATTCATCATTTTCGTGAGATTTGAGACGGAGCGATTTGATATCATTAGAAACTTCATGCGGAAACTCTTTCTCTATAGCCATGTTGTCAAGCTTGGACCTTACTATCCTCTGGATGCAGTGTGAGAGCAGCTGGCTCAGTTGGCAGTGGAAGGCAGCTATAAGAATTGGAATTACGTCTTCAATAAGAGCTTTCTCCACAAAGTTTGAAAGACGGCGCTGCATAAATTGGTGGAAATCGTAAGCATAAAAACACCCAAACTTTGGCTATTGTTGGAAAACCTAGAATAAACATTACTAACTTGCTGATTACTTGAATAAAAATGCCACTAAACAGGTAATAAAGAACAGATAGGCAACTGATTCCCCCGAAAACAAAGTGATGAAAAAGTAACATCTGCAGTGCTGGATACGTGTGATATATGTAGGTTATACTAAATATGTGTTGAAATCTCAAACTTGAGAAGGCTTGCAAACACGTTCAAATCTAACATTTAAAAAACAACTGAAAAAGAAAGAGCACAAACAAGCAAAGGACAAGGATCCCTTTGTAAATTATTTAGACATCATCATCCTACCAAAACTACAGAGGAAAACCAAATAAAGCTTACAAGAAAAATTGCAATCAATCTTGTTGTAAAAGGTATAGCACCGTAAAAAGCAAGAACAACCCCTTTAATAAACAAAACAAGAATATAGCATTCCCACACAAGTTGAAACTAAAGGAAAGTGTGGAAAACCCGAAAATAATTAAGAAACTTAGGCCGGTGAAGAAAACAAACAGTTGGTGTACCCATTTAGTGTAAAAATTGCTCAAAGGTTTCAATTTTTATCAGAAAATAATTTGCCAGAGAAGATAAAACTATGGAGAGGGCAACCTTAAAACACATATGTTAGTATTTCATCATCACATTCCAGGTTTCATCAATTCTGCGGAACAAAAAATTGAATGCAGGTGCTATGAAAATTTTTGCCGATTTGGCAGTTTCAATCATACATACCAAATTTGAATGCAGGTGCTATGAAAATTAAACTTAGAGCATTTTCTTTTAATATAAAGCAGTACTTATTGCTGCATGAATTTAATCAGACAATTTTAATTAATCAATTCAACTTAAAAAGCTGTCACAACTTTGCCCTGCATTCGTAATTTTAAGAACACAAATAATTGAATGGAACAATCATTTGCAGAGGAGAAACACTAGAAATGGAAGCTTGAACAAACCTGAACAAGCTGAACAAGTTCCTTCATCTGGAAAGTGGAAGAAGCATACATCAATTCCACAGCATAATTAATAGCAGGGCCGCACGCATCATGCGGACAACCATCATCAACGCACGTGGACACTTCTCGAGGGGATGGATTAAGCTTCCCAGTGTACAAGTAGTTCAAGAAAACCTTGAAGGCTTCATAGCCAACCCCGCCGTTTGGAACCAATTCAGACATGAGATACCTCGGTTTACCTTCCTTGTTCGAATCATCACTCCCCTTCCTAAAAAGCTCCTGAAAAAACTGACTACGGGAAGCCAATATACACCGATTGACACCCACGGTGTTACCCTCAACAACAATCTCAGCATCACTATAGTCAAACTCAGGATCAAGTAACAGCCTCTCAAGATTATCACTCAGTTTGCTTAGACTCAAGTAATGTTCAACACTCGGCGCGGGTGGGGAACTGGCTGAGGCAGATGCATGGTTACTACTAGACCCATTTGACAGATAGGAGGAGGAGGCAAAGCTTAAGGATGATGACAGTTCATTGACATTATCCATGGCTTCCAAAATCTAGGCAGTCCTGTCTAAGCTTAACGATGCTATAAATAAATAATTCAAGAACCCCAAATCACCCTATTAAGAGAACCCGAGATCGGGTTAATTCTCCTCCACAAACTGCATAATCCTATGGAGAAATCATATCAAAATTTACCCAATTTCTCCGAACACAGTAAAATGCTCAAAACTAGCAAAAGAAAGAGAAATAATCTGAACCCTAATAACCAATTTCTCAAAAAGTCAAAACTTAATTTCAGGAATTACCCAGTTGCTGAAATATTGA